CATGTACAAGGTATACAATCCTAGCTGACATCAATGACATACTACTATATAGAAAGCCGCTTGTTATGCAGAGCATTTCGGGCAAATTAGGTCAGTTTTATTCCAGGATGCGACCCACACCAGTCGACTAACTCCCAGGTACCCATTTTACTGATGGGGAACATGTACAACCGGTGTAAAGAAACACGCAAAATGTTTCTACCTTTGCCGGGAATCGAACCCAGACACTCGCCGTGTGAAGCGAGAACTTTAGACACCAGGCCACGGGGCACCGGTTAGGTCAAGTACAGGAAATGGTGAGTGAGAGTACAGAGTATGGTTAGCCAAGTACAGGAAATGGTGAGTTAGAGTACAAGGTATGGTTAGGTCATCATGCTCGTAAAATGCTGCCTTAACCTTAATTCTGGAGACCCTAACTTACAACATTCTAAATCTAGTAGGTTAACATGTAGTGTTAGTTGAACAAGGACGGAGCCCTTGAACAATTGAACCCTTGAACAGTTGAACAATTGAACAACCATACTGTGCTTTTTCTTGTGATCGAAAAAGGTATATCATCTTCTGATTCACTATGGTTCCATTTGGCAAATATTTGAAAACTATCGTTGGTATTACACTCTGTGGGGACATCTGTCAAGTACCTGAGATAACACCTGTGTTACTGACTTAAGCAAAATACGTGAGTTTTTTATGTTGAGTTTAAATTTACAGTCATTAAAGAAGTAAGTTTACTTAGGCACAGGTACACATAAGTATAGTTATTATACATAGTGTACATCACCTAGGACTGACTGACTTTATTACGCTCAGAAAATGAACAAGAGTAAATGTTAAGTAGCTATACAAAGGAGGGAGAGGGTGGGACCCATGCATACCAATTATATACCTGTAGCCGGTTTCTAGGGTTTGTCTACCTTTGCAGCCGTTCGGCCTGAGACCAGACTTCCTTGGTGATTGCCCTTTTAACTTGACTGTTGCTCTTGGTTGCCCGTTGGCCCACATAGCTTTCACAGCCTGGCTGATCTGGCACTTGGCCGAGGGAGTAGTCTGGTTTCCTCTAGAAGACATCAACATTTGCTCCGGTAATATTTCTGATATCTGCTGGTAGCAGGTTAAGAGTCTTTGACTGGGTTTATTTTTCACTTCACTTCGTAACATTTCACAAACGCCTTGAAATTTTTGTTTCGCCCTACTTCTGCAGTATATTCAGCAAACAGGTGATTGCTGAAAGGTAGTTACAGAAGTTATCAAATTTCAGACGCCCTGTTCCATGATAGTCATTTCGAACCGAGCTTCAGACAAGCACAAATTTGTGTCTACAATAATGTGGCAAAAATCATTCTGAACCTAACGAAAAAAATATATTTTATTGTGTTTGTTTATTGTTAAATTACTGTAAACTTATCTAAAATATATTTAGCTGGATTAGGCTAAATTAAATTGTGCTTGTTATAATAAGGTTAGGTAAGCTTTCTAAGGTTCTCTGGCACAAAATTTTTAATTTTTACATAAATATACACGAAAAAAAATATATCTTTAAACGTATAAGAGAAAGTTTTAGAAAGGACTTGATTTTTAATGAGTTCTTGCTAATTAACGAATTTTACCTATTCAGTTTACCATGTTCTATTGTATGGTCAGTCTGCCGAAGAATGTTGAATGTACAGATAACCCGCACTTAAGAGACATCGTTAAAGGTTCCGATCTCCTTAGTGCAGGGTGCTGGTGCATCGTTCCAGCCACGGTATTATCACTTATTACTCTTTATTGCTGGTGAGATGCCGACACAAAAGAATAAAACACGAATTTACTGGTGAAGTTAACACTGGGACAACGCTCAGTGTTACTTTAAGCCAAACGTTGTCACAACAAAAGCTTGTTATGCATGTATTTTTTTTTTTTACTGAAGAATGTTAATGATTCTTTTGTCATGTTCGATATTTAATTGTAAAACCATCATGGAACTCCGTGTTTATCAAGAACTGCAAGAAGCCATATCATGTGCTTTTTAACATCCTATGGAGAGGGAACATGGACACAGGGGTCGTCCCACAGCTGCTCCAAACAACAGACATAGCCCCACTCCACAAAGGTGGCAGTACAGCAATAGCAAAGAACTACAGACCGATAGCACTAACATCCTATAAACCTCTTTGAAAGGGTTCTAAGAAGCAAGATCGCCACCCATTTAGATACCCATCAGTTATACAACCCAGGGCAATACGGATTTAAAGCAGGTCGCTCTTGCCTGTCCCAACTACTGGACCACTATTACAAGGTCCCAGATGCTCTATAAGACAAACAAATCGCAGATGAATTATACACAGACTTTGCAAAAGCCTTTGACAAGTGTGACCATGGTGTAATAGTGCACAAAATGCGTGATAAAGGAATAACAGGAAAAGTTGGTAGATGGATCTATAGTTTCCTGACAAATAGAACAAAAAGAGCAGTAGTAAACAGAGTAAAGTCTGCGGCGGCTGCAGTGAAAAGCTCTGTTCCACAAGGCACAGTACTCGCTCCCATCCAGTTCCTCAACCTCATATCTGACACAGACAGGGATGTAAACCACAGCACCTAGTCTTCCTTTGCAGATGACACCCGAATTTGCATGGCAGTGTTATCCGTTGAACACACTGCAAGACTCCAGGCAGACATCAACCAAATCTTTAAGTGGGCCGCAGATAGAAATATGAAGGTCAGTGATGAGGAGTTTCAATTACTTCGATATGGAAAACATGAGGAAATTAAAACTGTATTGGAGTATAAAACAAATTCCAACTACACAATAGAGCGAAAAAAATTAATGTAAAAGACTCGGGAGCCATAATGTCAGAGGATCTCACTTTCAAGGACCATAACACTGTATCAATCGCATCTGCTAGAAAAATGACAGGATGGATAATAAGAACCTTCAAAACTAGGGATGCCAAGCCCATGATGACACTCTTCAGGTCACTTGTTCTATCTAGGCTGGAATATTGCTGCACACTAACAGCACATTTCAAGGTAGATGAAATGCTGACCTAGAAAATGTACAGAGAACCCTCATGGCACACAAAACTGCGATAAAACACCTCAATTACTGGGAACGCCTAAAGTTCCTTAAACTGTACTCCCTAAAACGCAGGCGGGAGAGATACATGATTATATACACTTGGAAAATCCTAGAAGGACTAGTACCAAACTTGCACATGAAAATCACTCCGTATGCAAGCAAAAGACTCGGTAGACGATGCAACATCACCCCAATGAAAAGCAGAGACGTCACGAGTACACTGAAGACAACTCAATAAGTGTCAGGGGCCCAAGACTGTTCAACTGCCTCCCAGCATACATAAGGGGGATTACCAACAGACCCCTGGCTGTCTCCAAGAAAGCGTTGGGCAGGCTTCTAAAGTCAGTACCTGACCAACAGGGCTGTGGTTCGTACGTCGGGTTGTGTGCGACTAACAATAACAACCTGGTTGATCAGGTCCTGATCCACCATGAGACCTGGTCACAGACCGGGCCGCGGGGGCGTTGATCCCCGAAACCCTCTCCAGGTATACTCCAGGTAGTGAGGACATCATTCACTTATACGAACTGACCTCTGTGAGCAGTTTATTTATGAAGAGTTCTAAACTTTTTGGGTAATGTTTAGTGTTTTCCTAAAGGATGCTAGATGTTTATATTATGTGTTGATTATCTTCGTCATCGGTACGAAACAACGATCTGAAAATGTTTAGGTAACCGCCTGTATCAACAGTACTCAAAAATTTGAAAGATTTCTTCTGGATTTATTAAATATTGATTTGTCTCGTATATTATTAACTACTTATCTTTCGGTTTTTGACTGTTGGTCAATCAGAGGAATTTTTTATTATGAATTAAAGTAACGAGTCTGAATTACTAGGTACACAGGCCAGGAGCCAACAGTTACCGCTATCCCGGACACTTTCATGGGATCCAAGAGTGACCTAGAACGATGTTCTTGGTTTTAAGAACTCATACTTGAAATAAAAAAAATGTATATACTCCTTCAGTGGGCCATTATTCATAATTACAATCACTTGCATTTTTTATTTGCTCAGAGTGAGTGGCGGAGAATGAATCAGTCTATGATGCCTTGAGAAAGTATGAACGGCCAATGTTTATCGCTTCATTAAGATATGGAATGCGTCTGATATCGTTCGAATAGTGAAGTGTTTATAGTTGTGTTCTGTGAAACGAATTGATTATACAGTAGGAACTAAGTGGCAGATTGTCTTTATAGTCTGTGCTGTGATAGTTGTGGTCTGTGCTCTGCTAGTTGTGGTCTGTGCTCTGCTAGTTGTGGTCTGTGCTCTGCTAGTTGTGGTCTGTGCTCTGCTAGCTGTGGTCTGTGCTCTGTTAGTTGTGGTCTGTGCTTTGCTAGATGTGCTTGTAGGAGGGGGGACTCACTGAGTCGGGGCTTCTGAACAATGTATTCTTTCTTAAGTTTTAAGTAAGTTTATTCAGGTATACACAAATACAGTTACATAGATTATCATACATAGCAGCATATGTGTAGAGAACCTGGGATAACCCAAAAAAAAGTCAGAGTGACCTATTTCCATTGGTGTCCTACAGTTCACCTGAACACTAACTTTAAGAGAACTTTAATCCCTAAAATAGGGATTAAAATAAAATAAACTCTATTTTAAGGCATCGAAGTCTAACGACCATTTATCATTGAGAATTTATTACCCACCTGGAAACACAGAGTCAGAAAAACTTGTGTCTTCATAAGGGTTCTGGAGTCTCATATATAGTGTTGTATCTATATAAATATATACTCACCGAGTTGTGTCTGCGGGGAGTTGAGTCCCAACTCCTGGCCCCGCCTCATAAAGATGGGGTATATAAGATTTCGTACATATCAGTAATTACTGCCAATGTGATTCTTTTAGATGTAAAATTTATTTTTTATATATATAGTGTAATTTTTATGCCTCAGTGAAGTGAAATTTAGAATTAGAAATTTATATATATTTATATTGTAAGAGCATTGTTTAATATTTTATATGTTGTTTAATTAAGAATATTACTTCAAGAGAGATGAGATTATTCATTTAAAACAAACCTTTCCACTAAATTTGGCAGATCGTGATGCAACTTGGGGGGATATAGAATGTTTTTGCTCTCACCTGGCGAAGCTAGGCCAGACAGGTAAGTTTATTCAGGTATACACAAATATAGTTACATAGAGAACCTAAGATAACCCAAGAAAAAGTCAGACAAAGTGACTTATTTCCACAAGGGTCCTGACTGTGGCAATGACACCAGATGACGTGGGATAACTCAAAGCCATTTAAAATAGAGAACACCTTTTCATCTACGTTTCACCCTCACTGGGACGTTTTCAAGTACTATTCCGGGTGAAATGTCGAAAACCTTAGTTTCTTCATGCTTGATGGTATTGTATGAAAGGTCAAATTGTACCCCCGTAGCTCAGTGGTACAACACTCAGCTCACAACAGAGATAATTCGGGTTTATTTCCGGGCTGTATCGTGTGTGATTCACTGGTGGCGTACCCGGCCCGGGTCTCGTCCATGTGGTGTGACCCAGTGATTCCCGGGACGGGCGAGACGTAGGGTCTGTCAACAACAAACAAAACAAACAATGTATTTCTTTTCTACAGTTTACAGGTAATGTAGTTCACTTGTAAGAAAATAGTTAGGTATAAAACAAAGTCAATAGCATGGGTGTTAGCTGAAAGTCCTACTACCACCACCACCACTACTACTACTACTACTACTACTACTACTACTTACTACTACTACTACTACTACTTATTATTATTACAATTATTATTACTACTATTATTATTATCATTATCATTCAATTGTTTGAAAAGAAATCACTTCAAAATAGCATAGTTCCTCCATTTTGATGTCGTATTTTCTGTCATTCGCTCCAGAAATTTACAGATAAACTGCTCTAAATTCAGTAATTTTAACTCCTTGATCTAGGAGACTAAGATCTCTCACTTCATGTGTCCAGCAGCACTGATACAGAGGTGTCTCAGAGAGTGGTATCGCGCTCGGCTTACAACCAATGGGCCCGGGTTTTAGTCTGGGCAAGTCGAGACGTATTTATGAGATTTTTTTTTTTTTTACACCTGCTGTCCTTGTTCACCCAACAGTGGATAGTTACCCTGATGTTAGGTTACTGTTACAGATATCACCATGGAATAAATGACGATCAAGGGAAAGCTCTAACATGGGTAAGCTCCAACATGGGGAAGCTCCAACATGGGTTAGCTCCAACATGGGGAAGCTCCAACATGGGAAAGCTCCAACATGGGTAAGCTCCAACATGGGAGAGCTCCAATGTGGGGGAGTTCCACATAGGGAAGTTCAACATGGGAAAGCTTAATATGGGGAAGTTCAACATAGGGAAGCTCAACATGGAGGAGCTCCAGCATAGGGAAGCTCAAACATGAAGCTCCAACACGGGAAAGCTTAATATGGGGAAGTTCTGCAAGGGGACGCTCGACATCGGAAGCTCAAGCATGACGATGCTCCAGCATGACGATGCTCCAGCATGACGATGCTCCAGCATGACGATGCTCCAGCATGACGATGCTCCAGCATGACGATGCTCCAGCATGGGGGAAGCTCAACTTGGTGAAGCTCAACGTGGGAAAACTCAGTTTGGAAAAGCTCATCATGGGGCAGCTCAATATGGGAATGTTCACATAGGGAACCTCAGTATGGGGAAGCTCCAGCATACGGAAGCTCCAACATGGGGAAGCTTCAACATGGGGAAGCTTCAACATGGGAAAGCTCCAACATGGGGAGGCTTCAACATGGGGAAGCTTCAACATGGGGAAGCTCCAACATGGGGAGGCTTCAACATGGGGAAGCTTCAACATGGGGAAGCTCAATATCTGAAAGCTTAGCATCTGAGAGCTCAACATAGGAAATTTCAACATGGGAAAGCTCAACATAGGGAAGTTCAACATAAGAACATAAGTAAGAAGGAACACAGCAACAGGCCTACTGGCCCATGCGAGGCAGGCCCAAGCCACCTCCCAGCTTAAACCAATGACCCACCTAGTCGGATCAGGTCACATCTACTTAAGGAAGGAGCACAGCATCAGCTCTATTAGCACAAGCTAGTCAGGTCCAACTCACACCCACCCACACCCACTCATGTATTTATCCAAACTATTTTTAAAACTACACAACGTCTTAGCTTCTATGACGGTACTCGGGAGTTTGTTCCACTCATCTATAACTCTATTACCAAACCAATGTTTTTCTATATCCTTCCTGAATCTGAATTTTTCCAACTGAATGTCACAGATTCGCTCATTTGCACAGGACTACTAAACACCTCAAATGATGTAGTTGAAGTTTTGGCGGTAAAGATCGAAAACCAAAACCTTGTCATTGTGGTGGTATACAAGCCTCCAGATGCAACTTCCCAGCAATTCCAGGAGCAGCTTGAGAAAATTGACCACTGTCTGGAAAACCTCCCAACTCCTGCCCCAAACATCTTACTACTAGGAGATTTCAACCTGAGACACCTAAAATGGAGGAGTATAGCAAACAATGTTTTAGCAGAGATCACCCCGGGAGGCAGCTCTGATGAATTATTAAATCTCTGCACTATGAACTATTAAATATCTGCAGCAAATTCACCTTAAACCAGCAAATAGTAGAGCCTACAAGACTAGAAAATATGCTGGATCTCATCTTCACTAACAATGACGATCTGATACGTAATATAACTGTATCAAAGACAATACACTCGGATCACAACATAATAGAGGTACAGACATGTATGCACAGGGCTCCAGACCAGCAAAATGTGAGCAGTCATGAAGGTCTGTTCACGAAATTCAATTTCAATAACAAAAACATACAATGGGATCAAGTAAACCATGTCCTAAATGAAGCAAGCTGGGAAGATATCCTAAACAATACAGATCCGAACATTTGCCTTGAAAAAATGAATTCTATGGTACTTGTGATCTGCTCAAGACACATTAAATTAAGAAAAGAAAGAGAAGATGTAAACTAGAAAGAGAGAGACGTTCCCTATACAGACGAAGGCGAAGAGTCACAGAGAACCCGATATAAAGGTACAAAAAAAAAAAAACAGTGCTGGTGTTGGAAGGTGCAGGTGGTTGAGGCAGCGCACTGGGACACTGCATGTGGTGGCTGGGCCTACTGGATAAGCAGCGTAACCCATGTGCTCTGGGTACATCCACATTAGGCACGAAAATATTCTAAGCCAGGCTGGTTTAAAAACCCACAAAATACCACAACACCACAGGGATGGTAAAGCACTCAGAATAGCTTAGAACTGGAAGCACAAAGCGACGGTGAAGGCTGGAACTCACGTGGCTTGCTTGAGTACTGGGTTAGTCACCTGGGTTAGTCGGCTGGCTTGCTTGGCTTAACCCATCACCCAGATTGGCTTGAGAACTTGTAACGATGAGCACAGCAGGGGTGGAAAGCTGGCTAGCAGGAAAGGGTGGTACTTAAGACAGGCTGGATGGTGTAGGGCTTGACTCCTTCCCACAGACTGGCTTGGCGGCTTGGCTTAATTTGCAAACTCAGGTCAACCCCTCGGAAGTAATGCAAATAAGCAAATGAAACACTAAGATACAAAGACTGACCAGGAAGTAGAAAGCAAACAAGCTGGTGGACACTTGAGCGGGGTGCCTGGCTGCTAGGCTAGGCCGCCATGCTGTCACACACACAATGACCATGGATGAGAGAAAGTTAATCTCCATACAACCGCGTAAATATCAAATTTACGTGCTCGCCGCTGGCACCATTTGTTGGGAGGGTTCGTGGAGATGTGACGGTTGGAGTTAAACACACTTGTTGGATGGTAACACTTATATTAGCAGAGTGTGAAAGGGAAGCCCAGACTGCCTGTGTTGCCTGTTCGTAGACCTAAGCACAGAGTAAGGAGCAAGCTGGGAGTGCAGCGCTCACATACAGCATCACTGAGCCTAGCAAGGGGTCAACTATGTAAAACATATGGATGGTACTATGATACTCAGATAACATATACATATACAGGGGATCAGCAACTATGCCGACACTGAATGGGGTCAATATATCTGAAATACGAAGTGCGGCACTATTCAATGAAATTGCAAATATCGAACTTAAGCTGAAGGAATCTTATAGGAGACACGAATCACAGGAAGAACTAAAAGCCATAAAAGAAATTTAAAAAAAAAATACTTCTTCTCTTATGCCAAATCTAAGGGAAAAACAACATCCGGTATTGGGCCCCTGCTTAGGCGGGATGGGACATACAGAGATGATAGCCAAGAAATGAGTGAGATACTAAAGTCCCAATATGACTCAGTGTTCAGCGAGCCACTGCCCACTCTAAGGGTCGACAATCCAAATGAAGTCTTCATGAACAAAACCCAATATTTGGTCATCCCAAAAATCTCGGATATTATTTTAACTCCACAAGACTTTGAATTGGCAATTAATGACATGCCCATGCACTCTACCCCAGGCCCAGATTCGTGGAACTCCATGCTCATCAAGAATTGCAAGAAGCCCCTATCGCGTGCCTTCAGCATTTTTATGGAGAGGGAGCATGGCACAGGGGTCATCCCACCCACACTAAAAACAACAGACATATACCCACTCCACAAAGGTGGCAGTAAAGCAATTGCAAAGAACCACAGGCCGATAGCACTAATATCCCACATTATAAAAATCTTTGAGAGGGTTCTAAGAAGTAAGATAGCCAACCACCCAGATACCCATAAGTTACATAACCAAGGGCAACACGGGTTTAGAGCAGGTCGCTCCTGCCTGTCCCAGCTACTGGACCACTATGACAAGGTCCTGGGTGCTGTAGAGGATAAATAAAATACAGATGTAGTATACATAGACTTCGCAAAAGCTTTCGACAAGTGTGACTATGGTGTAATAGCACACAAAATGCGGGATAAAGGAATAACGGGAAAAGTTGGTAGATGGATCTACAACTTCCTGACAAATAGAACAC